AGTTGTCTAGGTCCCGGAGAATCCGTTGTGCTTGTGAGTCGGTTTGGGTGGCTTCTTTTATGCGTTGTAGAAGCTGACATTGTATCAACGTCAGCATGCTTAAGTAAGCGGGTTGTGTTGGGATTCGCAAAAGGGCATCTGTTATCGTATTTTCTGCTCCCAGTTTGTACTCGATGGAATACTCAAAACCCAACAGCTTGCTCAAATAATGGTGTTGTTCTGGAGTTTGGATGACTTGATTCATGAGCTCCTTCAAGCTCCTATGGTTAGTACGAATAAAAAACTTGCTACCCAACAAATAATGTTGCTACTTGGCTACTGCTTGAGTGATAACATATAACTCCCGTACGTACGCATACGCTTTTACTAGACGAGGATTCAATGTCTTACTGAAGCATGTGATCGGATGACCTTGTTGCAACAAAACGGCGCCAATTCCGAAATCTGATGCATCTGTTTCGAGAATGAATTCTCGCATAAAGTATAGTAAAGCTAACACTGGGGCACTGGTCATGTGATCTTTGAGGGAGTGAAAAGCTTGTTGTGCTTCCTTGCTCCACTGGAATCGATCTTTTCCAAGTAACAATGTAAGTGGGGCGGCCACCTTGGCATACCCTTTAATGAAACGTCTATAATACCTGGTTAGGCCTAGGAATCCACGTAGCTATCGCGCGAACTAAGGGGTCGGCCATTGATGAATAGCTTGTAACTTGGTTGGATCAGCACATACTCCTTGGGACGTGACTATATGGCTCAAGTACTCAATTTGATTTTGGCCAAAGCGACACTTGCCTTTCTTCGCGAAGAAGGTATGTTACCGCAGAGTTTGTAACATTGTGCGGAGGTGTTCTTCGTGTTGTTCCCTAGTTTTACTATATACCAGTATATCATCAAAGAATACAACTACAAACCTTCAAAGATAGGGTCGGAAAGTGGAATTCATGATGGATTGGAAGGTTGTAGGGGCGTTTGTTAACCCGAATGGCATTACGAGGAATTCATAATGGTCATCGTGGGTTCTAAATGTCGTTTTGTGAATGACTTGTTCCTGCATTCTTATTTGATGGTACCTTGCTCGTAGATCTAGTTTTGAGAAGATCGTTGCTCCATGTAGCTCATCCAACAGTTCATCTATTGTAGGAATTGGAAACTTGTCTTTGATGGTGATCTTGTTCAGTGGGCATACACAAAAGCGTCATGATCCATCTTTTTTTTTTTACCAGTAGCACCAGGGACAAGAAGGAACTTTGGCTAGGACGAATCACCCCTGCTTGCAGCATTTCAAACACTAATTTTTTCATTTCTGTCTTTTGAAAGTGAGGGTAGCAATAAGGACGAATATTCATTGGTATTTCTCCTGGTTGTAAATGGATCGCATGATCAATGACTCGAGCGAGAGGTAATGTTGATGGAACGACAAAGACATCTTCAAATTCTCGTAGTAGGCTTTGGATTTTCGATGGCAGTTCAAAATAATCTTCATAAGTGGGTTGTAGAAGTAACAAGTGGAAGCAAGACCCAATGTCATCTAGTGTTGCCAACTAGTTCACGTTGCGTTGTTTCAAGGGTCCGAATGAGGGCGGAGTCCTTTTAAGTTATATATGTCGCTCCTTGGTTACGAAGGTCATGGTGAGTTGTTCATAGTCAATAGTTACGGGTCCTAACGTTTGCATCCATTGTACCCCCAGAACTACGTCAATGCCTTCAATTTCCAAGATAAAAAGATCGATAGTGAACTCGTGACCTTGAATCTTGAGAGTGATGTTTTCACATTTGTGATTGCACACCAGTTGCTGACCACTGCCCACAAATACCCGAAAAGGTGTGATTCTCAACCGCGACCACCCCATTCATTGAGCTATGCTTGGTTTCACAAAATTGAATGTGCCACCTCCATCTATGAGAACCGATAATATCTAAGATTGGCATGTAGCCATAATGTGCAACGTGGATGGATTCTCTTGACATGTCAAAGCATGCAACGATATTTTAGGAGTCTCACTAATTGCATGGTCACTTGAAGCTTGAGTCAATTCCTCTAAAACCGAGGGATCACTTTCTTCTGGTGTAATAAGGAGATAACATTGGGTTTTACATCGATGCCCCATTGTATATTTTTCGTCATAGTAGTAACACAAACCTTTCTTGCGTTGTGCCCTCATTTCTACATGTGACATCTTCTTATAGGATTGTTTGGATGGTGTACGATCAAGGCGTGGGATGACACAAACTGTTATGTGAGGGTGATATTATGGACAATTTGTGATGGTTTCAATTGTGATACTGGTAGTGCAGTGTGGGTTCTGGTTGTTTGGGTGGACCATGATGATGGTCGTGAGTTGGGTGTGGGTGTCATTAGAGTGTCGACATGTGGGTGTATGGCCTACGTTTGTGCATGTTTCTGTTCATGGAGCTTTGCAAGACTCACAACGTGAAGATAAGACTGGGGTTGGGCTATCAGGATTTCGGATTTAAGATGCTCATGCAACCCAACTATAAAGAAATCAGTAATCTAAGATTCAGATAAACCTGTAACCTTGAGCGAGATAGACTCGAACATTGTTTGATATGCTGCACAGTCCTCATTTGACAGACTTCTTTCATAACTACCCGATAATCTTCATAAAGACTGGCACTGAAACACAATTTAGCTACTACTACAAATACGTCCCATGTACTAATGAAATCATTTTGAATCATTCATTTATACCACGTGTAGGCAGGACCGCTCATGGCCATGGAGGCCAATTTTACGCGTTGTTGTGGTGGTGTGTTGTATAGGGAAAATAGTTCTTGAAGTTTAAAGATCCAATATTCTGCATCGCTGCCATTGAAAGGGAGAATGTCCATGCGTCAGGTGATGAATGTGACTATGAAGCAGTCAAAGACTCCATATTGTTAATATGATTGTTACGATGATTGAATAACTCACGAATCTACTACAGAGACTCATCAATTTGCAAGAATCGTTAGTCGTTTTACTCCACAAGCTTCTCGAGTTTGGTATCTAAATTACAAATTTACTCGTCCAATTTTATGGAACGTGTTCCCTCCGCCATAACCATTCAAGAGGAGTCAATGGAAACACCAATTAATACTTACAACAAAAGAGAATGAAAAAAAAAAAAAAAAAAAAAACTAAAACGTTTGAAGGATTATTACTCCAAAAAATCACTAATGATATTAATTTTTTCTTTCCTATCCCACCATCTTTTATACTTATTCTACACAATTAATTACTAACCGTTTGACTTCTTCTAATTGACTAATTAATATGACTCTATTATATTAATATACGTGCACATATCCTATTCATATCAATCTGGTTCATATCAATCCGGTATTATCATTAACAATCAAAACTTCCATTAAATGATTTATTTTTTCAAAATATTTTAAAGGAAAACTATATTTTTAAATTTTAAAATAATCAATTTACATTTCTTATATAGTTAATATAATACATTTATATTTATACTTGTATTAAAATTATATTTAAATATAATAATAAAATATTTATTTATTTTGATATTAACATTATTTTTCTAAAAACACATTTTAGTATCTTATTGTAAGAAAATTTATAATTAATTGTTGATATAACTTCTTAAATATTGTAAATATGTAATAAGTAAAATTTTTACCTTATTTAAAAAATTATTTATTTATATATTTTACAATTTTATTTTAAATTTTTATTTATATTATTTTAAATAAAACAAAAATATAATTACATTATTAAAAAGTATAAATATTGAAAAAATATAATTATTAATTATTGAAATATTAAAAAATGTTTATTTCAGAATTAAAGAGATCATCTTTTATTTCTTCTATTTATACTTTACTTACTTTGGATATTATAATTTTAAATAAAAGTTATTTAATTCAAATTTATAATAGATGAGAGACAAGTTAAATTAATTACATCTCATGACCTAATTTAAATAAAACTTGTATTATAAACAATTCATACAAGTTCATAAAATAAAAATGTGAAATAAAAAGTTACGAACGATATCATATTTTTTTAAAATAATTCATACTCATTAAATTTCTTTTTAATAAATTTTTAAAAAATTATTTTTTTTATTTATTTATTTTTATAAATAATTTATTAAAATATTTTAAAAAAACACTAATCATATAACATAAATAATTAATACTTTGTTTAAAGAATTCAATAAAAATACTTTAAAATAAAATTCTCATCAAATTAGTCATCTTAAAGTGATCTTATAAATTGATATTGAGATTTAATTTATATGCATCTTATAAAATATTTTTAAGATAAATATGAGATTGAAACATAGTAAAATTGAAATTATAGTCTCAATTTTCTCCAACTCTTACTTTTTCACCAAAAGCTTTGTAATATTCAATATTCAAATAGCACAAAATTGATGCCGAGATATAATGGAAGTAACAAAGACAACTAGGTTTTCAGGGCCAGCTTTTCTGATTGTTTTTAACAGCTAAAACAAAAAACAGTGGCGGCTTTTTCCTTTAAAATGATTCATTGATAAAAGAAAAAAAACTTGAACAAATCGTCAAAAGCACATATGGAGACACAAAACAGGAACATCTACATGGTTTCAGTGGGTATGAAACAATCATGCAAATCAATTGACAAGAATGAAACGTAAGATCTAATTAGCGAGTCCTACAAGCAAAACTAACAAACTAAAAACTCTTGGAAGATTTTAGCTATTATGTCAATTTTAGCTGGTCCCCTCAGAGAAAGCAAATTCAAGAGTCTATAGGAGCAATACCTACTATTCTGCATTTGTGCTTATCCGGTTTGCACCAATTGTTGTCATAACAAAAGGAGGAAACACACTTTATGAGCATTATTCGCACCCTTTACATAAACCCTATGTTCTACACGGATTAGTTACAGAGTCTTACCAAGTATTAATAGTCACAGCCACCACATGGCCTAGAATGTTTCGTCCCACAAAACAAGGTCACCAACTAGATGTTTTGAAGAAAAACTCAACTTAATCAGAATCAGATGATGATTCTGATATCTGTTCAACATTGGCTGCATCATCTGCTTTCAAGTTCCCCTGACCCTGCTTAAATGCCTTGGCTATCTCATCAATGGGAATCAAGGGGAGATACCCAATGAAACAGTAACCCTTTTGAGTCATGGTCTTGATCACATGGTTATACTTCTCTGACCAGTGTGCAGCAGTGGGAACTGCCATCTCCGCCAGAGCGTGGAATGGTGGATAGTGGTTGAGTCCATTCCACAGCTTCACTGAATTTATCAACAAAAAATGCTTTGACTCTGTAGCAACATAATGCACAGCTGCTCTTGTCCCTCCAGATTGAGCTTGACTTACAACTTTCCCTGCCTCTTGTGTCACTTTCTGAATCAAAGCCTTGGCTTGATCCGCAAGTTGCTTAGCAACAGGAGGAGCATGCTCATCGAACTTGTGTGTAGCTTCATCCACCTGTCCAAATCTTATGCTAATTAACAGGGAATTTCAAGTGTACAAGATACAACGGACAAATAATCCTTTAATTGAAAGCTTTATGATTCAGAGAAATCTCATTGCTAATCAATGAACATTAGAAATAACACCCTAGAAAATGCATATAAGTTGTCCTGCTGAAAAACAGCAATTTACAAAGAGTTGAACCTTTCCATCGTCACCAAGTGAATCTTCAATTCAAATAGCCGGCCAACGAATCAAGGAAACTCCTCCTTACGTAAAGTTAAACCTTTCCACCATCATTAAATAGTAAGATTGGCCAAAGAAAATAATTTATCGATTTCCAACATTTGATTTATATATTTGTCAGGGAATAACTACACACCAATACAATATACTTTTTATTTGTAAGCAGCAATCACTTCCTTATTCGCTATTCAAGAAACAGATATTGACCTAATGAATCAACATAATAATAACAACCCAATCATGATTAAAAGCTGATTATGAATTACCAACAACCATTTTTCCCAATTTCGTCGTAACCCTTTTCATCAGATCCACCCGAGAAACCAGAAGGGTTTTGAAAACCATTCAAATAAAACACCGGTTTTTACCTAAACCCCTAGATGTAGAAAGGATCAAGAGGCATACGAAGAAAAAGCTTACCTTTTTGTCAACAAAAACCAGGACATCATCAGGGAAGTCCTTGAGTTTGTTGCATACAGGACCAAGAACGGTGGTTACAGTGTTTTCCACTGTTCCGACGGCAGATCTCAAAGGTCCAGAATTTTGCTTTGCGTACTCATACAGATTTGACACAAACACAAAGGTTTGAATAGCAGCAACCCTCACAAACCCCAGGTGCTTTAGGTCTTTGTTCTTGCTCTCAACCGTTACTTCCAACTGCAGGCATAAAGTAGAGTAAAAATTACGTCATTTCAACATTTATAATCTTTTCCATAGAAGGAAAAGAAATCAGAGAAGGAAATTTAAGAAGAAGCATAAATAGAATTTTGCCAACCAACCTCAGTCTTGGCCATTTTTTGTCTGTGTCAGAACTGGCTCGATACTAAAATTTAAGGAGTGGAGATTTCAGTAATGCTTTAGAGAAAAATAGAGGAAGAAAGATGAAACACCAATAACTGCAAAACTTCTGAGACTCAAAGATGGACAGAAATGAGAGTGTTGGAAAAGTAACCTTGAACTTTGATTGATGGTAATTGGTTTAGAGGAGTAGTCGTAGGGCACCTTATATTTATTTACATATAAATCTCATCAGATGGCACAATAAAATCCTAATCGCACGTCTCTGTGGACCGACTCCAAGGGATCTTTCTAGGCCAAACTAGCTATTTCCAGAAGCCACGTGGCCCCTTCTTGAAAATTGAGAACAATCTTCGGAGTTGAGAGACCGGGATCTACCTCTATGTTGACAGCCACAAACCACTCAAATTATACAATTACATAGATTATTTGTGGCATTAAATTTAATTAACTTGGAAATTCATAAAGCCATACTATTGCAACTAATATTTAGGGAAAAATAAATTTAATTTTTAATGGTTTTAATTTTTTTCACACCTTTAAATTTGATGTGATTTTTTTATTTTTTAATTAAAAGTTATGTTTTAGTTCTTTAATTTTAAAAGAATTAATTTACCTGTCTAAACGTTATGAGAATAAATTATCTGACGTACCTTCTTATATAAGCTATCTATAGTGTCATGCAAGTATCTATAAAGAATCAACCCAATACATTAAGTTTTCTTAAGAGACATTAACATCAAGGATGTGAACGGAGTTATCGTTTAAATGGACACATGAGAAAATTTCAAATTCTCAACTTAGACATGATGAAAATTCCACAGCATAATTCCTCCAGGATGAAAAAATAAAGTTATAAATGTGAAAGTCCTTAACATTAGATTCCAAAAATCAAATACAAAACATTAATTGCCATGACTAAACCTGACCGTTTAACGACTTTTATAGTGAATAAAGATGACAATATGTCACTTGTTATACTTATTAGCATTCAAATTACATAATATATAGTTTGCAAATTATTGCACCAAGTTGTATTTTTTTAATCTCTACTCGTCAATTTTAAGTTCTTATGTGGTGACGCTCCAATCATAACTTAATTAGATTCAAAATAACTAAAATTTTCTAGTTAGGAATAATAAATAAGTATTTGATAAAAAAATCTACGCAAACTGTGGCACTTCGTAATGAAATGGAACGAGGCAAGGATTGAAAAAAGATTTGAAAAGTTATACAACGTAGCAATAGCAATAAAAATAATTTATGGGCATATCACATCTATTTTATATTAAACGAAATAAATAAATATAATAAAAAATACGTTACTTTTTGGGTGATAGAAAGAAGATAAATAATATGAATTAAGTATTTGTATTGAAAAGTAATTTACATATAATTGTGAGCCGATTATGTAAAACAGTGGGCTAGGAAAGCTGGCCACAGGGATTGCCATCAAGTCGTTGTCTCTGCTCTACCAAATATTTATTTTATACGCCATATTAGATGCTGCCGAAGGCGTGTACAAGTAAGTTTTTGTATTATCCACAAATACTGAGGATCTAACTTCAGGCTCACAGAACCTCAGATCTCTGTCGTTTCATACTTTGATGGATAGGCTCCTTCACCTACAAAAGATTGGGAAAGGAAGAAAATTACTTTCGACTACTGACACGTTCAAATTAAAGAAAGAATAATATCATTGTAAGGTATAAAGAGGCCACAACATACCGCGCTAGTTTTCCTTGATCGTTTCTCTTGGGAAGACTTACTGCATATAAGTGTATCAGCTTCGTCCCCTTGATTTGCAATGCCATTTATTCTGCCATTCTCTTTGCCTATCGCGAAACTCTCTCTTGAAATAACAGGCTGTACAATTTCAAAAAAGCGTATATCAGTTGTATATATACTATTCAATATTCGACTACAAAGAAACTGGAAATTCAATCAATATAACGCCTCAACCCTGCTTATGGGGGTAGTCCGGGCCTCTTTTGCCGTTGTTGTTTTCTGGTCATTGCCGGAGTCAGTATAGTTTGTCTCAGATGTCACTTTCATTCGTGTTAAATCTGACCCAATGGAGTGGAGAACCCCGCATGTAGACACGTCATGGTTGCTTCCTGATCAACAAGAAAGAACAAGATAGTGTAAGTTGACTATAGTCTTTTTAGATAGAAAGCTACAATAATATTTTAGAATAACTCTATATTTCTACTTCTCAAACTATTTTCCATTACCATTTAAACGAAAACCAATTAATTTGGACTTGCTATTTGGTTCACAGTGATCAACATCCTGTGAAATTTCGAAACGTGAAATTGGTAATATTCATTGAAAAAACGGTGATATAAACTACAAATACTAGGTAGTTGTTACCATAGCTTCAGTATCACTTAGAGCTTTCTGGACTTCAATGAATTTCCTTTCAGTCAACTCCGAATGGATAACACGTTTCCCTGAGGCACAGCAGCCATGAAAAGGAACCCGGAAGAAAGCAGAAAAACAAAACAGAAGGATTATTATCTTTGTGTGTTTGGTTCCACAGTAGGGATGCGCCCAAATCACATCAAATTCTCAGTAAATGCAGAAATGATTTCTAGTCGTCAAAATAAACACTTCTCACGTATAACATGCAGAACCAAATATTTCCTTTCTTTGCTTGCATTTGAACCCGACCGGACAAATGGGATATTGTCTTCCAAAAATTACCATACACATGAAGTATGCTAGTGTTTAGATATTTTTTACTATTATTAATGCTGACCAAAAAAATGCAGAACCAAATAGGCACTCAATTTGATACCTAATCTTTTGTTGCCTTTGGGTTCAACAAAACCATCCCGCACCATTTTATCAATTATCTTTCGAGCTGCTGTCTGGTTTACTTCTCCCTCAAGCAAACTTTGAAGCTTACTGATTGACACGTGTGTCATTGGAAGAGCATGATAGAGAGCCTGCCATATTTACTCCGTAGTAAGGATACATTATAACGTAAAGATATTACGTCATACGACTAAACAACTACTATGATAAGTTAACAATTTAAGAGATCCGTGATAATATTTCGTGTAGGGTACAGATTACACTACAGACTCCATCCTTCGACGCTTCAGATAATGCATGGTGTTTTGAAAGATAAAGATAATTCACTGTAAGTAACATCTTTAGTTTTTTTATATCATACTAAACATTAGCAGCATCTTGCACAATTCATTTCAAATCGGCATTACGATTGTACTTTACTTAGCCCCGAGGAACATCACTTTTGTTCCTGAGCTATAGAGCATACATTGTGAACAAATTACAAGTTAACAAAGAGCCAAAGATCCTCATAGGAAACACCAAATGAAAAAAGGAAAAATAAAACTCACTTTCATGTATAAGCGATCTTCAACCTGCAAAGCTCTGTCAAAGACTTTAGGAAGTTGACCGTCAATTTCTTCTTTCACAGTGGTGAACTCATATTCAAGGTTCTGACATTGCAATTACATCAGAAAGGGGTCGAAAATGGAGTACAAAAAGAACCAAGGAAAAGGGTAAAGGTCAATTGAGAAACAAAAATAAATAAAAATCAACCTTGTCCTTATTAATGGCGTAGGATTCCTTCCCTATCTTGGACAGGACACCTTCCTCAACAAGCTTATCCATGATCTCTGAAGAACCAATCGAATTCAAGCAAAAGGTAAACAAAGTTTGCAAGTGATAAAATCCTCAGAACATCTCCAGCTTGACGATTAACGTCCATACCTTCAGTTAGAACCTGCAATGCAAATAAAACAATTAAACAGAAATTATATTTGACAAAAGATGAGAAAAGAAACTAAATTGTAGCTAGTTCATAATAGAGGAATGGCTAAGCAAAAACATGATCTGAATAGCAGTGTTAGGAAAAAATAGGTACCACGGAGATGTCTGGAAAATTAGATAGAACATCAGTGAGTTCAATTGTCTCAAGGTGACAACATTTGATCCACTCCTTGACCCGGACCTGTTGTTGTTCATCTTCTACCGGATCCTGTGTATTATCTGAACACAATACATAGATCATTAAATATCCTGAGTTAGGGGCCAGTAACTGAATTAATAGTTGTAAAGATCTAGAAAAAAGAACTTATTTTTACATTGTCAACTAACAAAAATACATAAAATTATGATTCGTCTGGGTCGAGCTTATAAAATACGCAACTGCGCACACACTTCTCTCCAATAAAGCAAAAAGATAAAATTTACCTTCATCAATCATGCCATTATCTTCCTGTTCTTTCTGTTTATCTGTTTTCATTGTTTACATATCAAAAGAAAACAAAGGAGAAAATTGTGTTGTGCAGCAATAAGAAAAAATGATACAGTTACCTATTGGAGCAACTACATATCTATTCCCTTGAGTAAGATCAACCTGAAAGTTGTGAAATCCCATATTTAAGTTACACGATTGTTTCAATGGCATGTCAGTAGTTTCGGCCATATCAAGCACCATCCTCGGTTACCTCACTGTCAGTATCATAATACTCATTTTGCTGCATTGAATCATCGCCATTGCTCATATCGTCCGGAATTCCCTCATTATCATCCTCACAAGGGTCGAGTACACTCTTCACCTATAAAATTGAAGAGGAAATAATAGGGAAAAACATTTGTAGGTTTAAAACATTAGCTGTAAACGCGATATCCTTCCTTTACCTTCAGAGCTAATACGAAGTGCTTGCTGTTTACATTCCCAACCTCCATTTTCAAAGGATTTTTCTCCCATGGATGATAAGCTTCGTCACCTGTGCAGCCCCGGAAGAAAGGAGGTTCATAATCAGCAGGCTGCAGGAAAAAAACAGTTGTATTGTGAAACAACTCTAAACTTTGCTATGGCATAACAGTGATATGTTCACAGTTGCTATATACGACCAAAGTCATTAACCATTCTTAATTAAACAACTACCTAGCCAAAATGCAATACGATTCTGAGAAATTCATACAAAAAATAAAAGGAACTGAGATTCTTTATTCACGTCAAAAAACATACAGTCACGTCATCGTAGTAGAGGAGCTTCATCAGAATGGTACGCTGAGAAATAATATAGAAGTTAGACTTTGCAATAAACGCTTGAGCTTGAAGATATAATAATGCGATATTATTAAGCAACGCATTTGAATTTATTTACCTCTTCTGGCATTTTCTCGAGAGTTCTCATCAACTGAACTAGAGTTCGGATCATTTTACACGCAGAACTCCTGGACATTATATCAAATACAAATAATATTAGTTTAATTGTGAGTCAACATGATAAGTTCGGAGCAGATCTAAATTGTATTTTCTTTTACGACATCAACCTCATCTGTTGGGGAGTAATTTCTGTAGTCGAGTTACACTTGAAGGCCCCCCGGTTCTTTTTGTTTCCAGTGCGGTTGATGTTCATTGAAACCTCTTGTTTGTCAGAATCGGAATAGCTGAAGGAAACTGCACGGTAGAATAAGAATGATGAATCCTCCACAAAATCTTTTGTTAAATGAAATTAGAACCCACATTTTGCCACTTGATCATAGCAGTCATCCTAAAAGTAATAACTAGGTGTCATTCTCTTCTTGTTAGAACGATAAGCTACGCGGTACTACAAATTCGGAATTCAATCATATCCACTGACCAAAACTGCAACCAGATGTCGCACAGACTTAAAGCCTTACATGCATATTCCTCAATCATTGGTCCGTCCACTGCTTCGCACACGCAGAACAGAAGCGTCTTCAGATATTTCTTCTGTAAAGCATCGTACACACCTGCAAAAGAAATAAGATAGAACAAATAAAACAGGCATTGCAAGCAACACAAAATCTTATACTAGAAGCTCAGTTAGTCAATAGCTCAACCGTGCCTTTCTCCATCCAATCAATTAGTCTGCGAGACTCGGCATCCACTGGCATTAGTTTTTTTATCTTCATCTCTGTCATTTCACGCATAGATTTAGATGAAATTCACTTGGCAAAAATTATCAAAAAATTCTGTGGAAAAATAAAGGAAAATGACTGGAGCGCTAGACAGGTTTACCTAAAGCGGGAACAGACTTATCATTGAAATACTTCTCAGGAAATAGTCCTCTGATATAACTGATATTGAATATGGCAATTCGGAGCAGATTCCTCGTCTTGCAAATGAAATTGCAAATCAGGTAATGAAAATAAGGTGATCCAGACTCTGGATTCATTTAGTGAAGCATCTCAAATTGAAGTAACAGGTGGATCTACATTTCTCCATATAACTTAATTAAATTAAACTTCTGATAGCAAACATTACATATTTGCATTTTCTCGGGGATATTAAAAGCAAATAGGTGCTAAACTTTAAGTTAACTAACTTTCAGCTATCAGTTGATCCTACTGATAGTAAAGGGAGCTAAGAAGTAAGTTTCTGTCAACGAGGAATCAGAATATTTTGCCTGACCCTAAAAACTTTGAAGGCAGATTCTATTGGTAAATGAAAACTCTCAGGTGTAAAATTTGTTAACAAAAGAAAGATTATCGTTCTATAAAATTGAAAACTACACTTACTGAAGAAATCTAAAATGCATGAATGCAATAAATGATCGACAGGAAAGGAAATGCGGCATTGGAAGAACAATGAAAACTCGAACAAATGAAAAAAGCAGCAGAGTCGTATGGTTCAAGAAATATTATATGAAAACGCGTTATATAAGAAACGCATGAAGCTGGGCGATAGTTAAGTACGAGAAGAAGTGAATCCTGCTCTGTGATTTCAGCTTCCTTGACTTTCTGTGCAACGACCTGAAATAACGAAATGGAAGATTAAGAAACCGTCTCAGTGAGAGGAAGAAGATGAAGAAGAGAAAGGAATAGAAGATTCGAAGAGGCTTCTGGTCTCACCATGGTGTCTGAATTCCAGAATAAAACACTGAGAGAACAGTGTCTTCACTACTAAAAATTTTGAATGAAGAATGTGCCGGGAGGGGATGAAAACTAAGGAGTGATATTTATAGGCCGAATCTGATGTACCTTTGGGCCACGATACGATGCACCGCCACGCAAGTTGGCACTCACTGCTTTTCAGATTCTGTTATGTTGAACGACGCAATTGAGTCTGATTGTTGTGTCACGCAAGTTCTGTGAGCGAAACCCAAAGAATAAGAGAAATGCTTGGATTCTTCAGTAGGCCTTGAATTTCTTTCAAACACTAACTTCCTTAGTTCTTTATCATACTTCGGCCTTGTCTCCACGACCCCCAATTAGTATAGAATACAATCTGTGACATTTAATTGATGCATAGGCAGAAGAGTAACAGAAAATAAATTTAGAATTAACTCTATCCTTCAAAACTCATTTGTAAAACAAGAATTAAATTAATCTATATATTATAATGGTTCATATCTGTAATAGATATAGATATTAGACCTTCAACACATTCTTTCACGTTATGATCATTATCTCAAAAACGTGTTTGTCTTTTTAAAGTCATGTCAATCTTTTATTAGAATAGACTTTTACGTAGTATTAAAATAAACCCAAACCTATGTTAGAGCAATTATATATATGACATGATATAAATGTTAGACTTAAAACAATATCTTATTTTAAAAAAAAAATCCATTAAAAAGATGGTTATGTATATAATTATCTGAATCAGTTAAAAAGAATACAAAGATGCTTATAAAATTAACAATTTTATATATCCTTTTTAAATAACTATGTAAAAAATCTTTTATAAGATAATATGTTATCTTGTTTCACTACAATGAACTTAATTTAAGAATAGTAATTTTCTTTCATCGGTACGAAATATCCGGAACACGGAAACGGAACACATATTTAAGAAAAAGGTATTGGGCTTAATTTTTGTGAGATTTACTCAATTTATGATGATTATTTAAGATAGAGAAAGAAGTAACTAAAGAAAATGGCTAGCACTTATTTCGTCAATTGAAGAGAACAATGAAAGTGAACCTCCGTTCATTAAATAAATTACCAAAAAAGTGAAGAGAAAAATATAAACAGAATATAATTCGAATGAGAAAAACATAAATATAGAAAAATGATTGACATCATATAAAATAAAAATGAAAAGGCACAATTCGTGCTGAATAAGGAAGCCCAGTCTAGATGCAAGAGAATGGCACATGACACAAGCTCAGAGAGTGATCAGGATATAAATCAATGGAACCTCACTAATAAAAGAAATATACTATATGTTAAATAGAAATAAATGGGGAACTTTTATTAAAAGGACAGTAACCAACCATGCATCCGCCCGCCTCCCGCACAAGTTATCATGTATAATCTGCTTCCATTCTCGACACATGCTTACACTCTCCTCCCCCTTCCTTTTTGCTGGTTCAGTGTTCGCAATCATTACAATTTCGACAACAAAGAAAATGCTAAAGTTAAATCATAATGCAAGAATGCTATAACATACAAAAGTACTCTTCTTTCCTCCATATTCCTCCATATTGTATAACTACAATTCATTCTGATACGAAATCTCTTCTATTTGTATTTACTGGTTGCGTAGCTGCAGCAATTTTCTCCCGCAGGTTGAATTTCTTTGCAATTAGTGGCCGGACATCATCAACACCAACCAAGCTCTCCAAGAACGGAAGTAATGAAAGCAATTCTTGGTCTGAACGATCATCAAACCAACTCTCAATCGGTATTCCATTATCCACTTGGAATCCAAATGCCTAGGTGGAAAAAAATTAACAGCGGCAAAAGTAGTAAGTAATATTTAACATGGTATTTTTATCAACTATGTTCATTACCTTTTTCCTATAAATGAAAGGCTAATAATTAAATAATACAAGTCATTTCCAAGTCTTTTAATGGGATCATAGCAAGTTTGTAGGTATTTCAGCATGATTTCACAAGTATCTAAAAAATATTCGAAGGCTTCCATATGCAACTAGCATAGTACAAATGTTAATCGTAAGAGCAATTTGATCTTAGGCAATAGAACGTATAACCATACCTGTGGGGAATTGTCAATTATTATAACGCGTGCCAAATCACGACCAAGCACTGTTAAATCTTTGAGATAAATCCCCTCCACATAAACACAAGATTCACGATATACCCGATGGCGAAATATCTTCCGCTTAGGATCAAGAACATTTAGAAGTTGCTCAGCATAAATACTTTGACTAGCTGTAAATATTATAATCTCAAAAAGACCAGAAACTCTCTCAAGGAAATCTTTCAGATGAGGGCGGCAGCGTACATAGACAATGTGTTCCTCACAATTGAAATTAACAGGAAATGTGAAGTCTACATCCCCACAAGGTTCCAGGGTAGAATGCACCAAAGTTTCTGCGGAGTAAAAAACAATAGTATAAAATGAGCAGTTCAACCAAAAGCTTTGACCACTAGTTACTTTGCAAAACAGAAAGAAAAATGAGACTAATATAGAGTTAACCAGCAACAAACAATAGAAGTTTTGGTACATGGAAAAAGAATAAAGGCATTTCTCGAATTTCCACTATAAAAAACATGTTTCTACTTACAGGCTCCAGCAAAATTTTCACACAGTATGATAATTTCAGGACATAAGACCGCTTTAACTAAGGGCAGTATAGTCAATCATGAGCAAAAACCCACGATAAAAAAAGTCATTAAGCAGCAACCTTAAGATTGCACCAAGATAGATGGTTCAACCCCATATAACCACTTTAATACAGGTTCTATGAAACTCTAATGGCTGATGTTGTGTGATGACATTAAAATAAAGCAACTGAGAACAAAACAACAAAAAGAAAGAATGATAGCAAAACTAGAAGGATAAAACAAAAAATAATTGCCTAACAATAAATAAATGACAAGCTCAAAAAAGATGAGAAAATAGACATGGAACGGTGGACATCAAAACAAAACTGAACAGGTCACTGTTCTGTTGCAACCGAAAGACCATCCATAATATATCTAAACCCAAAATAGGAAGGAAAACTATGATGCACATTTTATCAATTAGGGATGCCAAGTGTACATATATGATTTACTTACCATCCAAGTCCAGAACAAGAGTAGTTGAAGGGCAACTACGAGTCTGCTTAGGTAACAACAATCGTCTAAAAGTTGGAACCACTGTTGACAAGTCTGGTAAGGTCTTTATGAATAAGTATGGGTCAAAGTCATCAAAATCCTCAAACTCATCCTCCTCTGTGCATATGTCAGAAGACATTGGATCCTGACCGTGCTCATCAACACATTCCAGCTTTGAGTTTTTCATGGCAAGATATATGGCTGAAACTTCCATGGAAAGACCATTTCCATCAAAATCGGAATTGCAACCATTCATATTTCCTGTGCCTAAAGCATGTATCTGATTTCCACAGCTCCCTGAATTAGAGTAGTTGGATGAATTGTTCATGTCTACCTCCATTGCTGTGTCAGATCCTTGAGTGACAGGACCATCTACTGCATCTTCTTGAGGTAACTTTAATTCTTGACATGGAGAAGTTTTCTTCTGGTCTTCATTCTGAAAAATTTTGATAAAATCAACTAGATAGAAACAAAAGAAAAATATTAAAAAATAATTTAAAAATATAAGAAAATTTCATGGACAAACAGAAAGAAAAGAAAAAAAATCAATGCCAAGAATAATTAAAATAACATAATGTCATTTACCTCTGTCAACAACTTTTCCTCCAGGATTTTTGGATAAGTGAAACCCAGGAGAAAATATAGTTCCAGACTCAAGATGAACAGCTTGATTGTTGCAACCCTAAAGCATTATTTAAATGCATTTAAAAAAACAAAAACAAAAAACTGTCAGAGAATATATCCAATTTATACGAGAACCTTAAAATCAAATCAGCATTTCAATTTTCAGAAAGCATTTACATTAAAAATGCTCATTGTATATGAGGACCTTAAAATCACTACATTTGAGATACAGCTACTTTGCCAAATGACGTTGAGTCATTATGCAGTTGACATCTAAGATTAAAAACAGCTTTCAGGCAAAAGAGAAACTTATGTATTAGCATGCACACCCGGACACACATAAAGTACAAGATCCAAAATAAGAAAAGTAGAAATGCAGTATAGTTAAAATACCATAAAATCTAGTGAAACACCATCAACTGCATCATTTTCCAAACAAAGATTGGAAGTTCCACTGTCCATAAACTCATATCCATTATTCAAATCTGTTGAAGGGATGGGCTCTCTAGCTTTATTCTCAAGAGTGCTAACTGAAGTTACACCAAGAAGATGAGAAGTAAAATCAGTTAATTTCACTGTTTTCTATTATAGCTAAAAGACACATTGTTTTTGGACCATAATATATTGATACTGGAAATTTCAAAAAAAAAATTTTGAAGGAGCAACATGGTTGAGTTATACACTGCAATTAAAAGACAAATTAGACATAAACAAAAAAATAATTGATATAGCTATCTTAAAAAACTGAACAGATCTGTCAGACCATCACTAGTACTTACAAGATTTATTCTTCCTAGCAGATGATGTAATTAGGTCTGTCACTTTCTTTTCAGCAGCTCTTCCATTTTCTGATACCTTCCTTTGTGCTCTTGAAACCTTAGGACTGCCACGATCTTGACTGGCATTTCGCCTAGAGGTTTTTTTCTTAGTTTGCATGTCCACTTCAAGAAGAATACGTGGTGAGCTAATTAATTTCTGTGAGAATAATCAAAGCAGAAAAAACAGGTAGAAAAAGATTACCCTGAGAAAGTGCATTTGCGAACTGAATTTCAAAGATCCCTGACACTTTGAATGTCTAAAATTCAACACTAAGCAATACGTTTTCCATGTTTCTAAAACCAGGATGAATCTTCATAATAGCTTAAACTTTCAGAGCTAAAATTTCAAATTTTACATCCCCTACTACATTAATCGCATGGGACTATAATTCATACCATTAATATCAGCAAGAATAAAAAGCAGAACAAAAAAAAACCATGATCACACTCTAAATCTGTTACGAAGTAACCAAACCAATTTTCAAGAGCTATTGATACATCACCACACTAACTAAAAGTTCAGGGAATTAGTGACTCCTTATTCAAATCAACATGAGTCCACACCCTTCACTAATTTATCTGGAAACAAATGACACCAATAACATCTAAAAACTCACCAAATCAACAACCCAGCGTCAATTGTCATGTCAGTATCCAAAATCCGAGCAACAATCCAAACAAGAAACAGTCAAATTCCAACCTTCACATTAAAATCGCACGAAACCCTAAAAACACGAAAGAGCCTAAAACATACAACTATAACAACGGGCATGTGCTAATCCAATAAGTTCCAGCACAAATCATATAATCCTTGTATCGAGATCAAAAGCTACGAACTCTAACAGTAAGCACGGCATTAGCAGTGACTTCTCCTTAAACAAAAAGAGACAAATAAAAAAACAAAACAGAAGGAAAGAATCAACTCACAGAAAATAAGCTAGAGGCAGTGGCTAAAGCCCTAGATTTGTTCAGTGGTTGAAGGAGAAACTATATTCTTCTCAGTCCAAAATTATTTTGGATGTTTTCCCTCCAACGATAAAGTGAGAGGGAAAACAATAGAAGATGAAATTTTCTTTTTTTTTTCAGGAGGAAAGGATGTGCCCATAAATATTAATGCACCAAGAAAATGATTACCTAAGGTAATTAAAAATATTTATTCTTGTACACCGAAATTTCAAATGCTGCTTCTCTCTTCACCCTCACATGCCATGTTGATCAAAGAGTATCACGCGTTTATATGAATGGACACGTGTCTCTCAGTATAAAGATCTTTGTAATTCTAGGAGATTGAGACTCACGCTCTTGCAGCACGGAGATATCATCCTGGGTAGTGTCATTTTAAATTTCAAAACCAGACTCAAGTTTTCCTGTTATTAACTTATCTTAATTTACATCTTTTCTCATGCGCTCACATTTCCTGAAATTGCTCACAGATGCCTCAACTAATGGATATTGTGAATATTTTGAAAAGCAATTCAAAATTTTATCAAATTTTCAGATCTATTTTTCCCCCACTTTTTCCAAAAGAGTTTTAAAGAAAATTTAAGTCTCATAAAATTTAAAAGACTTGTGTGATACAATTTTTAAAAAATAATAATAAAGTAAAAAATAGCAATTAAAAATTGTACTTTTATACCATCAAATAGTGTGAGCAAAGAAAAAATCAATATCTTCAATCTTTTTTTTTCTCAAAACTTGTATAGATGAACAGGAGTAATAATAACAATAATATTAAATTTAATATAATCAATTATACATTAAAGTGTGTTTGCATGATCCATTATACATTGAATACAAAATCAATTTTATATAATCAATATAATCGATTGTATGTTTTTTAATATTTATAAAATGTGTGGTTATTAATTTTTATTAATTTAATTTTTAGTTTTTATATTTTTAAAGTATTGATGATCTTGATAAATAATTGTTTTTGTTTATTATCCTGTAGTCAATTTAAAACGTTAATTGAAGAAACTAGGATTTGATTTATAGTTTTTTATATATTATTTTTCATGATTAAGTCATTTATTGAATTTCCATCTAATTTTTATGAATACAAAAAATCATATATATATATATATATATATATATATATATATATATCTTTTTTTCTCTTATGCTATTGTGGGATTTATATTTTTTTATTTTATTACTATATAAAGTTTTCTTATTTTTACTTGAATGTTACATAAGAATAATACCTACTCAACATGTGTTAATGTTTAATGTATTAGATAAAAGCTAATTCACCCGTAAATATACAAACAATGTCTTCCTGTATGAGTATCCAAAAACATACATGTTTTCTCCAATAAACTTATAAGAGCATATTTGTTTTTTAATAATAATTTAAGAATAAAAAATAAATATTTTAGTATATATACATATATATATATATATATATATATATATAAGTTTAAATTTTGAGGAAATTATCTATATAAACAATACTATTTGATTTTAAATAATTCATATGTAATATTTTTATTTATGATTAATTTTTCGGAATAACTCCTTTTTAACTTTTTTTCAAGAGAATTTAATGTCATGAAAAATATAAAATAAACATTTTATGAAAATTTGTTATAAAATAATGTAATTATGGAGGTTGTGGAGTTCAAATGGATTCAAATTCTTATAAAAAAAAATTGTATCTCTTTAATTGGTCATGCTTTTAAACCCTAATTTTTATCATTGACTTTGTGTATAGTGATTATTAATTAAAGGTAAACAAATTTATCATAAAAATAACTCATATAAATTAATAATAATATTATTACACTGTAAAGTTAAACAGTATATTCATTATGAAAGGTTTGTTTATTGGAGTTGTATTAGCATACAAATAGAAAAGGTGTGTATTAGGGAAGAGAAAAAAATTATATCAAATTACATAAAAAAATAAATATATGACGCTTGTCACAAATTTCAGCTAAATAAAAAAAAATATATTGTTCTATTTTATTAAAATAATATTTATATGACATTTAATGTCCTTAATAACATTATTCTCTACGGGAAAATCTCAAATGAAGTCACACCTTAATTTTTCTTTATTTTTTCTTTAATGTTCTAACTTTTGTAGATCGTCAACTTTGTTTTTAATTTTTTTCTATTAATAAGTGTGTCAGAGTTTGAAGAGATTAGTGAGAAATTACATTTTAAATATTGTTTTAAAAAAACGTAATATATATGGTGTAAGCTAAAATTGATTGTGAAAATAGTGGTAGCATTAATCTCGATGAATTTGTCAATAACTGAATATAGTGGTAGATATTAACTACAATAACATTTAATGTCTATTTAACTATAACATGGTACTATATTTTTAAAGTGAAAAAATTTTGATTTTTTTTTTTACTAAACGTTGTCCCTATTGTATATTAAAAAAACAAAATTGTGTTTTTATTTTCACTAAGAAGCGTGATATTAGAGAAAATAAACTAAAGAATGAAGAAATCAAACAAAAAACATTAAATCAACATATATGTTAGTTTAGATATTTCAAAGTTAATCACAAATAAACAAAATTAGAAAAAATAATAATATTCCAATGAAGTTCATTTATTATTAACAAAATGTTACGAAAGACAAACAATAAAGAAGTTGATTTATTTTTAACCCAAAGATTTAACAAAACATAGATAAATAAATAAAGAGTGACGAAGATGGATAATAATGAATCTTCAATACAAAATCTCATAAATATGTTTTCCTAAATAAAATGTGATGTTCTTTCTGTTATGGCTCAGATCAAACTTTTATAACAGTTCAAATTTAAACTCCAGTTCTCAACATTTTTTTATCATTACAGTA